TATTTTACGTCTTTAGTAAACTTCCCCAGATAGTAATATTTTACGTCTTTAGTACGGTTCCCCAAATAGTACTATTTTACGTCTTTAGTACAGTTCCCCAGAAAGTACTATTTTACGTCTTTAGTAAACCTCCCCAGATAGTAATATTTTATGTCTTTAGTAAGTTTCATCAGATAGTACTATTTACGTCTTTAGTAAGCTTCTCCAAACAAAAATATTTTCCTGTCTTTAGTAAGTTTCATCAGATAGTACTATTTACGTCTTTAGTAAGCTTCTCTACATAATTTAAAGTCTTTAGTAAGTCTCATTGTGTGGAATTGTTTCAATTTTTAGGGTTTACACACTCAGACGCATTTCAATCTTAAGTCATCACGTGTTTGTTTTAAAATAAAAATGAAATATTATTTCCCCCATTTAGCTGAAGGAAATTGGATGAACTGTTTATAAACGAAATCGGTTATCAATATATATATAACCACTAATGAACTTTTCCTCAAGGCCATTAAAATGTCTATAAAAATAAACTCTGTCAATTAAACATCTAACGGGTTCGGAAAGGCTGTTTAATCCACTCAGTACACTGTAATCCACGCGAACCTATCCAATGGTACAGCCACAGTAAATGTCAGCTGAAGTTCCGAAATGTTAACCCACTACGAGTTGGTGTAGATAACTAAATCGAACGTAAATATCCAACTTGGATGAGGGAGTGTTGCATTTCGAATCGATGGGAGTGATAATAAATTACACGTTTCTAAAAACTTCCGAGTGCTTCACGTTTCTCTGTCTTTCTGGACAGACAGATGAAACAAAAAAACGTTAACGAAATTCTTGTCTCACTCTTTCAAACCAATTAAATTGAAGATTTACAACGAAGACGCCAGAAAACGTGGAATATACTAATAATAACATCTAAATGTTACAATAATATCTTGTTGCTTTCATATCTATTGTTTGTTTGTTATGGATTTCGCGCAAAGCTACACGAGGGCTATCTGCGCTGCCCGTCCCTAATTTAGCAGTGTAAGACTAGAGGGAAGGCAGCTAGTCATCACCACCCACCGCCAACTCTCGAGCTACTCTTTTACCAAAGAATAGTGGGATTGACCGCCACTTTATAACGTCCCCACGGCTGAAAGGGCGAGCATGTTTGGTGTGACGGGGATTCGAACCCGCGACCCACAGATTGCGAGTCGAGCTCCCAAACCATGCCGGGCCTTCAACTAATGATTTTTTTAAAAAAAATATTTTGACGTTATTGACCTTAGTACTTACTATATGCAACAAATTTAAAGAGTTCATCCAATAAAGACATCCACGTAAATAATTCTGAAACAAAAAGAACAGCAATAAAGACAGGAACTATTGTTTATTTTTTAAAGGAAAATATTCTCTCTAGTTTGTTTGTTTGTTGTTAAGCGCAAAGCCACACAATGAGTTTTTCTGTGCCGTGCCCATCACAAGTATCAAAACCTGGTTTTTAGCCGCTGGGGGCGCTTTCATGGGTAATAATTTTTAAATTTTCAGAAAATTTATCTACAAATCATATACGATCACGAGCGATTATGAGAATGAACTAAAACCTTTCACCATTGGCTAGAATTTTAAGAAGCGATTAAAGAAAGCAACTAAAACTTTTCACTATTGGTTAGAATTTTAAGAAGCGATTAAAGAAAGCAACTAAAACTTTTCACTATTGGTTAGGTTATTAAGAAATGATTAATGAAAGCAACTAAAACCTTTCACTATTGGTTAGATTTTAAGAAACGATTAAAGAAAGCAACTAAAACTTTTCACTATTGGTTAGAATTTTAAGAAGCGATTAAAGAAAGCAACTAAAACCTTTCACTATTGGTTAGAATTTTAAGAAGCGATTAAAGAAAGCAACTAAAACCTTTCACTATTGGTTAGGTTATTAAGAAATGATTAATGAAAGCAACTAAAACCTTTCACTATTGGTTAGGTTATTAAGAAATGATTAATGAAAGCAACTAAAACCTTTCACTATTGGTTAGAATTTTAAGAAGCGATTAAAGAAAGCAACTAAAACCTTTCACCATTGGCTAGAATTTTAAGAAGCGATTAAAGAAAGCAACTAAAACCTTTCACTATTGGTTAGATTTTAAGAAACGATTCTGGAAGGTTATGGAAACCCTTTCACTATTGGCTAGGTTTCAGGAGTTGTATTTGTCATCACTTTATTTTTCTCATCAACATGAAACTATTTTTTGTAAGAAACAGGAAATTACGGAAACAGTAGTCACACAAATGATACCTAATTTAATTACTAATTGAACAAAACTAATAACCCCAATTATCTGTATTTTTGTAGTTATGAGAAATATAATAAGTTTCTCCGCCACAGTCCCTAATTTTTAATTACTGATCAGAGATAAAGTAGCCAATCATCAGCAGATCGGGAGATATTTTGTGGTATCGCAGGGGTTAGAACCCGGCCCGTCAGAGCCAACACAAAGTAAGTTAAATGCATGACGTCGTTTTGCTCAAGAATCGTCTGCGCCTGTAGTTATCAACACATTATCTCTAGGAAAGCAGATATAGGCTTAATGAAACCAATTACTTTTGACGTGATACATTTAAAATGCTGTCTTAGGTTATTAAATATTACCTTAACAGTTATACAAGCACTAGTGGGCGGGAAAAAAAAAACGATTGACTTAATTACTGTGAATGTCGTGTTTCGACTATATCCCTTGCCCCCCTCCCCATTTTCCATTTCCCAACGAACATATTTTTTTCTACATTGTTGTTCAGCTCTAAGCAGCTTGAGTTTTATTTTGACAATGTACTGTGATAACCAATTGCAATCGGCTATTTCCTGAAACACTTGACGGTTAAGTTAGACTAAAGTCAATAACCCATTACAAGTGTGGGCGGATTGGATATTTTCTCGAACGCGAGATACGAAACGAGAAGAGACAAACACACAATAGGCTTAAGAAACTGCAAACAAATAAATATAGCTGATAGTTAGTTTTCAGTAGTACTAGCGAATGACTATGTCAATTACGTTGGATATTTAGATTATTACTTTAGGCCTAATAAAGGAAACAGATGATTATTATTTTAGGCCTAATAAAGCAAACAGGTGATTATTATTTTAGGCCTAATATAGCAAACAGATTATTATTATTTTAGGTCCTAATATAGCAAACAGATGATTATTATTTAAACTTAATAATGCAAATAGATGATTACTGTTTAAGGCCAAATAAAACAAAGAACTTCCATATAAGATTAAACAAAGGCACGCGAGAATTATAGAGACCTACACAGAAGAACTTTTTCCTTAGGCGGACGACTACATTACAGAGAGAAGTAATTTAAAGCCAATTAGTAAACACTTAAGACTAGTTTATTGATAATCAGTAATAAAATATAAAACAAGTCCTTATCATAAATTGATTGACAATTTGTGTGACACTGCAACCACGATAAGACTGGTATTGAGCGAAAGGCCTCGTCGGCAGCAGCATGCAACACACACAAATCGCCGGACGAAACGTTGTTTATACGAAACACTTAACATATATATATATATATATATATATATATATATATCAATTATTGTGGTATATTATCAGCCTTATTGTGATGTTGTAATGTCACCAAACAGCCGATCTATAAAACACTATCCGCCGGAGTTATATACCGTAATAACCGATACGAAAGTTATCCATATTGATTATATACACCACGTGAAAAAAACTAATGTACATTATTTTATTGAACGTCGACTGGTTTGATCACATTTTCTTAGTTTAATCGCTAGGTGGATGTTTTCACACACCTGTCGCAAAACCTGAAAAATCACACGAACAGAAACGACGTAGCAAACTAGGCACTACTACACCACAACCAATTCGAATTCACGACACATTCTTAAAACGTAAGTTAATTTGTAATATCACCATACAATCTACGTTACGTTTAGAACCAGAGGATCTATAAAACTGTATATTATATTTTATCTGATTACGTATACAATAAGAAAATAGACCAGAAGTATCTAACAGTTTTCATGTTACATTAATATGGCGGTATTGCATTCTCTCGATAATCAGTAGTCAGAGAATAGACCAGAATTATCTAACAGTTTCCATGTTACATTAATATGGCGGTATTACATTCTCTCGATAATCAGTGGTCAGAAAATAGACCAGAAGTATCTAACAGTTTCCATGTTACATTAATATGGCGGTATTGCATTCTCTCGATAATCAGTAGTCAGAGAATAGACCAGAATTATCTAACAGTTTCCATGTTACATTAATATGGCGGTACTGCATCCTATTCTTTCTGGTATGCTTGCTATAAAGGTGTTTCCAGATGCGCACTGGAACGTGTGAAGCAGCGAGCTTGTAACAGTATTACTGTACTGTGTAGCAACAAGCACGTGTGTAACACTAGTACTACTGCGTAACAAGCACGTGTGTAACAGCAGTACTGTACTGTGTAGCAACAAGTACGTATGTAACACTAGTACTACTGTGTAACAACAAGCACGTGTGTAACACTAGTACTGTGTAGCAACAAGTGCGTGTGTAACATTAGTACTGTACTGTGTAGCAACAAGCACGTGTGTAACAGCAGTACTGTACTGTGTAGCAACAAGTACGTATGTAACACTAGTACTACTGTGCAACACTAGTACTGTGTAGCAACAAGTGCGTGTGTAACACTAGTACTGTACTGTGTAGCAACAAGTGCGTGTGTAACACTAGTACTGTACTGTGTAGCAACAAGTGCGTGTGTAACATTAGTACTACAATGTGCAGCAACAAGCACGTGTGTAACACTAGTACTGTGTAGCAACAAGTGCGTGTGTAACATTAGTACTGCAATGTGTAGCAACAAGCACGTGTGTAACACTAGTACTACAATGTACAGCAACAAGCACGCGTGTAACACTAGTACTGTACTATGTCTACCCCATACAGAAAGTAACTTTAACAAAACCGTGACACATCAATACTCACTGCTCGTGTCTTGTTTCGGTGTGTTTCCTGGAGAAGTTGCCCAGTTGACCTTCATCTCCTGTAAAAGAACGAACTGGTTATTACCAGAACAGTTTAATACTACTGTCAGAAAGAGATACTAACTGTTGGGCTATTATATCATCTTTATCTATAGGATTACTTAGACATTTGATTATTTAACAGATGTACATCTTAATAGCATGAAAGTAACCACCAGCACGTATAGTAATATCACGTGGTCACGTGTTCACAGTGTTAACCAGCAGGTACAGTAATATCACGTGGTCTCGTGTTCACAGTGTTAACCAGAGCCCACAGTAATATCAGGTGGTCTCGTGTTCACAGTGTTAACCAGCAGGTACAGTAATATCACGTGGTTTCGTGTTTCAAAGTGTTAACCAGAGCCCACAGTAATATCAGGTGGTCTCGTGTTCACAGTGTTAACCAGCAGGTACAGTAATATCACGTGGTTTCGTGTTTCAAAGTGTTAACCAGAGCCCACAGTAATATCACGTG